TTTGATTCTGACAGACGTTGAGCAATAACTTTTTCTCATGTTAGAAAGAGGTATATCAGTAAAACCAGCACCTTGTGAGATAGATTGAGTAAATGTTATGTTCTGAACTGGCTTTTCCTCAGCAGTTGCAGCTGGCTTAGTTGATTATTAGCTACATAGGCTAATACGTCCCTGTGGTAAAAATAATTACAGAAAAAGATCTAATAAAGTATAGAAGAGGGTTTTATGGTTTATTAAAAACATTAATTGTAGCCTACATACGTATGCCCTAAATCTGATTTTGAAATCATTCATTTAAATCTTGTCATAGCCGATGACCATGTTCAAAATATGTTAGGTGCGAGCCACATCCTTTCTAACGCCAGGAAAGACAGTGGTAGATAATAAAAACAAATAACGACATAATTTTGTATCCGTTCAAATAGTGCACTTCAGATCCGCGCAGTGAGGAAACTAAACGATAGATAATCGTATGGAAGTAACGAGAAGTGGTGGTACTAGTTGATCACCTAAACCATAGTAGGTTAAGTGCGTTAATTATGATCGAAAGGTTAGTACCTAAGGCGGTGAGTCACTTCTATTTTGGGCCTTAGAGTACTACCAGTTTGTCATTAGTAATATCCGCATTAATATGTAAACAACTTCAACTTTCTGATTTCATAAGACAGACCGGTCATCAAGACTTCAAAATGAATTTATTCTGGAGAATATTTAACATACGATGCACGTAACTAAATACTGAAATTAAGGTAACTGAAGGTCAATAACAAATTATTTCAAGTAAGCTCTAACTAACAAACTTAATCTTTTATTGTAATGTCAACTCCGGCATTCTTACACATATTGTAAATACATTTGGTTTCTGAAAGTAATAAGACATTCTCAGGCTAAGATAACTGCTAGTGAAAGTGGCAGCATAGAGGTAGTTTACTTCAACATTTACATAGTCAGTATGAGAACACATTGTCAGAGCGTAGTGCAATGGCCTACATTCATAGTGGTATAAATGAGGACACCGCTACCAGTTTGATCAGTTTTCACACACCACCTGGGATTAGTGGTCGTTGGTTTTTAATCCTCTACAAATTCTAAGTAAGACATAAAACCAACAGTCAGTAGCTTCTCACACTGATGTTACATTTCCACTTGATTGTATTATTCCTTGACAATACGCAACTCGACTGTCGAATCTGTGTTGGTTCACTGAGCTATGTTACATGTCCAATGAATGACTAGAGAAGTGACCTAGCTATCCAAACTCAAGTGAAATGGAACTGAACCGTGTAATTAGGACTCAAAGGCCCACAACTGTAAAATACACATTTTTTTCAGAGTATTTCTACCGCAGCAAGTCAAAAAACATAATCGGACGTGCAGAGCTATTTAAAAGCTCCTAAGATGACCATAACTTATTTTCTACGTGTCTGTATTCTCATAAACAAATTATCTAATCAGTAAGAGAGGGTGTCAGCCAATCGAGTATGCGTTAGGCAGAATAATGCAGCTCTGTAAGATTTCATGAAACGAAATTCTTGGGGAATGCAACTCTTATGTTGCATAGCTGCCTTAGAATGATACATTTTAGACAGAGACCTGAAAGCAGAGTCCCACAGAGACTTTTCAGTTCAGTTTATCACATGATAACTATTTAGTAACTTTTAGGGTCATTCTAACATTCCTCATACCTGAGAATTTTCTAAACTACCCAACTGTGGCGTGAACAAATTTACACTGGACACCAGGACCAGCCAAGATAACAGTATGACCTCTGATAAATTTCACAGTCGCATCAGCTCAGTAAATATAGGTAGTAGAAACCTGAACTTAGTGGCTTCTTGACGCCTAAAACTCACTTAGGAAGTAAATAATTTCCAAATAAAATAATGTATCAACTTAATCCCACGGCACTACCGCACCAATGCATGCATGTCAGGACATTTAACAGTTTCCTACACTAACCACATTTTTGGTCCTAAAGACCATGTTTTACTACACCGATTGGATTGTAATTTTATGACTCATCTTAAACCGGCAAAAATTTAAATCAAATGAAGTAAGAAGTCAATAACTCCTTCAGGAAAATCTTAGCGTCATGCAGGATTACGAACAGTTGTCACCAAAATTCATCATATATAGTGTTATACTACACGGGAATATAAGTTTATGATATTGTTTTATTCATGGACCATTTGGTGGTAAGATATCATTTTATGAAGCATATCCATGATTGGTAGATGAACACATTAGGCTTTCATCGTATTCAGCTCATACAGCTAGAACAAACACCGGAAGCATTGAGATTACTCATAGTACAACCATACTCGCTAAACGTAAATTGCTAGAAAAGACGTAAAAACAGTTAAAGTAGGTTGGAATTCGAACAAACCTTATGCATACTAGGTGTGAAACTACAGCGAAACTTCGGAAAAAAATTGAGTAAGAAATAGCAAGCTTTCTACAGATAGTTCGCCTTACCCTTTAAGGAGTTGACCGTGTGGTCCTGTTGAGGGTATTTTGATTCATCCAGGTCATATGACTGCAAAAGGAGGCGAACTGCAGGTCCCATTGACATAGAACGAGATGGCTGAAGTTCCCGGATTTTTGATTTTTCCTCTATCTGGGTGGACAAAGTGTCACTTTTTGTTTCCTCCGGTGGTGACTTTGCAGAAGCAGCTACCTCTTGCCAATTCTCATCCGGATTAGCTAGAATAGCAATTTCACTACCAACATTGATGCTTAGTGAGCCAGCAGGAACCTATATGATAAAAATTGATCACAGTCAGAAAGCATCAACTTTATTTGACTCGAGATCGAAAAAATCGAAATTTAATCAGAGCTCGTTTGTGGGGCAGGAAAATGTCTATACCTACTGCGTGAGGATATTCCAGTGACAAAATCGGAGTAGAAACCTCAAAGATGTGCATCGGTTTAAGGTAACAGATTTCACAGCATCACACAAAGAAAAGTGGATAGAAAAAAAGTCCCATGAAAGTAAACACACAGAAAAAAAGTATACGGCATTACTGTGTTACCACCCAAATCGCCACACCTCGAACGTGTCAATCAACACATCAAGATACACACCACCGACATGAAACTTATACAAATAAAGGAAGACAATCAATGCTCAACAACCGACAACAAGAAGCACTGAAACCTTCCTGAAATCCCCTACCACCAATTATAAGATGAAGGTTGTCTCTGCATGCATCTCCGTCAGCCACATCCATTCTCAGACATTTCAACATGAGTCGTCAGCCACGGATTCCCATTATCATCAACACCCCCAACCCCCAACCCACAAATAACTCTGCATTTTCCCCAAACGGATCACTCACACCAATAATAAAACACTATCTCCACCGATACCATGCTTTACTTACCCCGTCTATAAGCATCTCCCATTATCAACAGATTTCAGATAACATTGTACAACGGCACACACATACACATCGTCACTAGGCATGCGTCACACATGTCATAAAAAAACAACATGACTCACCCCATGAACCTACCTCTACAACCTCATCCATCAACTCACTTTCCTCTTTTGTCCAAACCGAACGTATCACTTTTACACCACTAACCTCGTCGCATCACGCATCACGATACATGGCCTCTGCTACAAAGGCAACCGACATCGAACACCAGAAGCCTCGTCATGTACTCCACCTTCATTGATCACGTCTCACAGACAGATAATACAACACAGAGAACTACAACGCAGTACAAGCCACCCTTCATAGGCAGACAATCGCATATCACCGGGGCCCCATAAATGACGACAGTTGGCCAACTTCAAGCTAGCCCTCGTATTTGTGCAGACACCTCGACCACTGACCCATCACACCTGACTTTATCCCACTTACCAGCTGAGTCAATTGATGCTCAACGTGCTCAACCATTTCACGCCTTGTTGGAGAAGGTAGTACTGAAGACAAAAGTGTCATGGAAGGAGAAGGAAATTTAAGAATGAATGTTATCAAGGGTTTCCAAACACTGGCTTCTATCATATTGCTGCCCTTCCTGGTTTTAGGTTATCCAAAGCTCTCTCTACTGGTCAAGTGTTGGAGGTCTTATCAATATGTTTCACGCTGGATATAACCGGATAGCAAGTAATAGGATAGTAGCTGGAGGCCGGTTGAACTACTCCGCGAAATGTTGAGCACATCGTTCTAGTCACCTCCCCTGCAAGTGAATCCCAGGTCCATCCTTCGCCGTTACAGCCTCACTAATCACTGACAGTTTCGCCCCTGTTTCCTTGGTAAGTTTAAATAGCTGTTTAGTGTTAACTATCACCATTCGCTGCCTTTTCTATCTCTTTAACTTGCACTGCCCACTACTGTTCGTGAACACTCCGTAGACCTTTTGTCAATCTACATTTGAGTTTCTCCCGCTCTTCACTGTGCTCGGAGCCGGTGACGATACGTTCACGTACATCCACTAGTTCAGAAGAGGCTGTTGAGATTCACCAGCTCTTTCTAGCTACTTTCAGAAAATTACCTTGTCTTTAACGCTGCTTTTACAGAAGACTGGAAACAGGAACACGTTCTTCCTGGATGAGTCATTTTCTGTCCCGATAACTGTCTAGCCAGTTTCGCACCGAAAGCAGCCTTAGTGCTCTCATCGTCGAGCTGTGCTTGGAATGGGTTTGCTGTTGTAGTCTTCTCACGACTATTTAGGTGCAAACGTACTCTTCTTCAAAGCAAAAATGATCGCTGCCCAACTATTGCTTGGCTGTGACATTGATCTAAGCCGGCTTGCAACTAGTGGGTCACATCTTCGAATCTTGTTCCACCTACCGAGGTTTGGGCAGGCAGGTAGTATTATTAGCCTTCAAATAATAGGTGTGATTCATTGCCTACCGCACGAATGTTCACATTGTTTGGGTGCACTTTGAACTCGCTATCCAAATACGTGCTACAGAAGGAGCGGTAATCTTTCATCGACCTACCGATGATAACTAATAAGAATATGATCTTTCTACATGTAATGTTGAGATTACATCGGTGAACGCCAAGTCAGATAATAACAGTGTGAAAATGCTGAGTTCCTTAAATTTTTAGTCTTCGTTGCATCACTCATCAGTCGAACACCACACAAGGGAACATCAACCTGGACCCAGTCGAGCAGTACACTCTTTTCCATAGCACTTAATGCCATGCATACACCTGCAAGACGGAGAGGACCAGTCATCTAGTAGCCAGGAATTCAAACAATAAACTTTGCAAACTCACTATATTGGCTGGGCGGGACTGTGAAGAAAGTATACTTGGGTTCTGTATATGTCTCACAAATACAATACATTCATGGCACGAGATGCCAGACTTCTAGCTAGCGAAGCTTGTTGGCCGATTTGATGGAGATTGCGGACATTGAAAGCCCCAATCTGCAGTTTGGATAGCGGTTTCAGGGGAGTAAGGATGTTGTTTCCTGTACTCGAGTTATTGTCAAGGAATACAGAGTTGAAAGAAATTAGAGGTAACGCGGTAATATTGATCAAGGGTCGTGATAAAAGTTTAGAAGGCGGAGAAATGGAAGGTCAATAATGATCTGAGGTTTCCCTACTTTTCACACTATGGAAGGTCGTTCCTTCTTCAGGTACCTAGAAAAAAGTTGTTAATAGTGGTATGTGATCACAGAGCCCAAGGGATACCTGCTTGAGACCTATCATATACTGCGTTTTTGGAAGATTAAGATTTTAGTTTGTTTTTGACGAATCTAGCTTTACACATGACGTCGGCAGCGGAAGACAACAGGACTAAACGGAGTGCGCTATTTCTAAGGCCGATACATCACAATTCCCCTTATAGGGGACGCACAACCAGTATAAGACAGTTGGCCATCCGTAGGAAACACCTAGATGGCCATCACACACCCGTACAACCAACAGTGCGACTTCGTCTTCGGACCCCCATTACACAGTAATACATTACAACATAATGGTAGCTGCATTCTGTTTTGTCACTATCTAAGTGACCTTTTTGGTATGAAAGGGCCTCAAGATAGTAAGCTTTCCATCACTATAGCACGTTGGGTCATTTGATATGCAAGCCCAACCACCACGTCAAGGTAGCAGTTATCGGTCGACTGAAAATGCCAAACGGACCTTTTGTACTTCAGCTGATGCGAGTTCCCTTCAGTCATACATTGTTACATCTCTAGGTAGATAGAGTCAAATGTCATCAAGTCCAGAATTAGTGTCAGTAAGTAGACTTAAGTTCAAAGAGTGGTCTGGTCGATGCACTGTCATTCACGTCTGAAACCGGCCTGGCTTTCTCAAGTTTATTTTTGAGCTTAACTATGGACTTTGGAATCTTAGACATGACGTGAGTCAAGCTGATTCCCCTTTAGTTAACACAGCAAGTTAGATCTCTTTTCCAACTGTAGTGATCGACGATTTAAAACAGTTTGGTTGGACTACCTCATCCTTATATACTAGTTAGTCTTAATTACTCTGCGATTATCCCTAAAACTTAGTCATGAAAAATGTCAGATTCCGCTGCTTTTCATTGTTTAGGACCTGAAATACTCTTCCTAAACTCGATTAGCTACAGTTCATATTTATATTTGGGTCGAATGTTAAGGGGCCAAAAAGTAGCTATAAACCAGCTGCACTGTTCTTCAGTCCTACGCTAAGCATCCCAGATGAATGTACGGAGAAGTCATCAGGAACCGATCTTTCTAAATGACTGTCCCACTCACCACCTTTTCGTGCCTCCTCTATTTCTTTTCTTTATTTCAACCACCCCTGTTCTTAGCCATTGAGAAGAATGTTAGACTACGTACATCTACGTTGCCTTCGCTCTTCAACATGGTTTTAGTTAGCTGAAATGAGCCTTCTCGTATCAGCCAGTTTAGATGAGATTGTGAAAATCTGGCTTCTGCTTACCTATGGGCGTTGGTTACCAAGTGAATCTACAGCAGAACTCGTTCAGGTGAGTTCTGCCATATTCAAGTAAATCCTAAGCTACGTTCCCTTCAAACGCATGAAATGTTCCCATATTCCATCCCAGTAGAAAGGCTTTGCTGTTTGTTTCCTGCACGATAGCATGCTTGACCGGATTTCAAGCAGGTACAGAATAAACAGCGGCAAACCTTCAGCGAACCTCTCCAACAACTGCTTATAGCGATGTGTTTGTTTTCCGATTATATTTATTTTCACTTTGTTGTTGTTCTACATCGATTCCAATCTGTTGCTCTAAAGAAAGACTTGATCTGATGGTTGAACAACAACAAAATGAAGATAAATACATTCGGAAAGCCAACACACAGATACCTCGATTACTGTTCTGCACATACGCTAACCAATAAATTAATGGTCGCTAAGGCTCATCAGCAGAGCTAATCGTCTAGTGACTGTGAAAGACGTCAAAAATGAGTTAAAGTTAATCCATTCTACACGTATAGCAAATAACTATCCGCAAAGATTTGTAAAAGGAATCTTGAAAGATGAAGTGAATGATAGTCTTAAATGTCTTCCAAAGAAGTGAATTGGCACGGTGATTTCATATCGCCGAGACAATGGAAGAAACCTCAAAAAACTTTTAATGATCGTGACGTTAAAGTTTATTTCCGTACGATGAATAATCTACGTTGTCTCGATGAAGGTCAAAAATTTTATAACCGACGGAAAATCAACAGGGCTCAGATTATGATGCAGTATATGTAGAGAAAATATCAAGGCAGGTGATTGTGAGGGTCAAAGGACATGGACAATGTCTTAAGCAAATCCCAAAGACTTCAGCAGATTTA